CATTGGAGAATATCATGCACTTGAAAATTAATGTTATTATTCCAATGCCTTATTGTCAAAATGCGGATCAACTTTTTCTCCGGAGATAATAAATATTTACTTTGATACTTTTTGTTGTCAGATTACGAAAGATTGGAAACGCTGATACACAGGCACAATAAGAACCATGGTATTAGTGATTAAATGTATGTGCTTACAAACTAGTAAAATGATGAACATTAGTTACCTGTTGTTCTAGTGAGAAGTCGTGACCAGTAGGGTGCAGCAGGTCGGGTGTGAGGACAAATACTCGCCGAAGACATTGGCTAGGGGTCACGCAGAAGTTAGAATTCATGGGCCATTGGATCGGGTCCCAGTGGCTTAATAGTATACGAGCTCGCCTTGTAACCAGAAGGTCCTGGGTTCGAATTCCGGTGGGTGCATACTGATGAAGAGTCCCAAACTAGGACGAAACAGCTGTCTAGTACTCCCATGTTTTCCAATGGTTCTCTAACTAATGTCAGCTAGTGATCGATCCTGTAACCAATCAAATCCCTACAAACCAACACTTGAATTAGTCGAATAGTTTATGTGCAACGGAAATAAAGCGGTAAAATCTACTGGTAACTGGTAATTTTATCACTTCATTGTACGTAACAACTGCATTATTAATTCCAGAAGTAGCATTAAATCTCATCAAATGGAAATAGTATTCAGACACAAAGGATACTACGAAACATATCAGTAAAGACACAAGCCGTTGTGCACCATCAGATTATAGTAAGGCAATCCCGACCGAAAGCTGCTACCTTGACGTGGTGGTCGGGCTTGCATATCGCAATGACCCAACGAGCTACACTGGCTGGAACTTAAGTTCATGTAGGTCCTGCCATGCCTGAAAGGTTGTTTGGATAGTGGTTAGACAAAAAGCAGCTACCCAATCCAATCCTATGACTCAAAATAAATCACAAAATATCATGCCGGATCGGTCGGGGCCCGGATTAACAACGACCGCGCTTTCTGCTGCCGTGTCACAGGGCAGAAGTGATAAATACGCTACTGAGACACACCAAATAAAAAAGAACAAACAAAAACAGGCCATGTGTGACCGGCCTCAAGCAGTTGTCCCCTGGGCTCTGCGGTCACGCAACCAACTTCCACGGTGTGGGCAGCAGGGAAGTAACAATCGCCCTCACAATCCGAAGTGCACGCGAAACCTCTCTAATCCTCACTCATCTTTGTATTCATCTTCATCTCTATTATCTTGCCTTCCTTCTACTAATGCAACTCCTCTAATTAATGGCTCTTCACTTCCTCTTCACTCTGTGTGCACTGATAACGATGGAAGCCAAAAAGCCACCATCGATAGTCTCCTAAAGCCACGCCACCAATTTCATATAGGAGCATTCAATGTTAGGACACTTTGCCAAATAGGACAACAAGCATTGCTAGTCAAGACTCTGGCATCCCGAGCCATTGATGTATGTTGTGTTTCAGAAACACGCATACAAGACCCAAGTGTGGTTATTCATCTAACCCCACCTGGCCAACAGGATGAATCTGCAAAATTCACCTTGAGGGTGTCAGGAGATGCGACGGCTAGCTCACGAGGATTAGCTGGTGTTGGGATAGCTTTGAGTACTAGGGCAGAAAAGACATTACTTGACTGGATCCCGGTAGATAGCCGAATGTGTGCTGTCCGTCTGAACGGATCAGTGAAAAGGAGAAAGGACTGCACTACTCGCCGATGCCTTTTCGTAATCTCCGCCTACGCCCCCACTGACTGCAGTTCGAATGAAACGAAGGATGAGTTCTACCAAAAGCTGTCTAGTTTGCTGCGAAAGGCTAAACGCTCAGATATAGTCGTTTTAGCTGGTGACTTTAATGCTCAAGTAGGGAAATTGTGCCAATCTGAGAAGAATGTCGGTGGCACATACGGAATTCCGTGCCAGCGAACCGACAACGGTGACCGGCTCCTACAGTTCTGTTCAGATAATCATTTGTTTCTTGTAAGCACTAACTTCAAACACAAGGAGAGACACTGTTTGACCTGGCGACCCCCATCATCAAACCAACGCTGGACACAAATAGACCACATAGCAATAAGCTATCGTTGGCGTGGGTCGGTAGGAGATTGTCGCTCCTTCTGGAACACGTGTGTAGATACCGATCACGCACTGGTCCGCGCTCGTGTGTGCTTACGACTGAACGGACGTAGGAAACAGCTGGCGGTAAACCCATCACGTCCCCAGCTCGACCAGGGAACTAAGTCCCTATTTGAGGAAGAACTAGCTAAACACATATCTGAGTTCGACAGCTGCGCTCACCCTGAAGAAGCCTGGAAGAATATTCAGTCAGACATAGATACAGCTGTAAAAGCTGTGAATAAGGTAAATCCAAAAGTGAGTAAAAACCATTGGATTTCGACTGCCTCATCCGAACTGATAGATGCTAGAAGACTTATTCCGGTGAGCTCCGAATTCAATGAGGAGCGAAAGCTGCACAAAAGGAAACTTACGAAAAGTCTCCGCAAGGACCGTGAACAATGGTGGTTGACAAAGGCGAAAGAGATGGAAAAAGCATCGGCGATAGGCAACACCAGGCAACTATTCAGGCTTATCAGGGAAACAGGTGGTAAAAGGCAAATGATAAGCGAAACAATCTCTGAGAAAAATGGCACCATAATTAGCTCCCAGGATAGACGTCTGGAGCGCTGGAAAGAACACTATGAGGAGCAGTTTAATTGGCCCACAGCCACACTTAACCTGCCGGACATCCAACACCTCCCTGAATGGGATATAGACACAGGTCCTCCGTCCTTAACTGAGGTTACTAAAGCTGCCACTAATCTGAAACAAGGCAAAGCAGCGGGACCTGATGGATTGACTCCAGAGGTATTTAAGTACGGTGGAGACAGTTTACTGTCTGCGTTAACTGAGGTTCTAGGCAGCGTCTGGGAATCAGAGGAAGTCCCATCGGGTTGGTGTAAATCACTGATCATCCCGATATACAAGAAGGGAGACAAGTCTTCTTGTGATAATCACAGAGGGATTAGCTTGACTAATGTAGTATCTAAAATCCTAGGCTCAATAATACTGCGTAGACTAAGTGGTGCTCGGGAGACACAAACACGAGAAAACCAGGCAGGTTTTAGGCCAGGTAGAGGGTGTATTGATCATATCTTCACCCTTCGACAGATTCTAGAACATAGGCATTCCTACCGGCGTCCGACAATCATTATTTTTCTTGACCTAAAGGCGGCATTCGATTCTGTCGACCGAGAGATTCTCTGGCGATGCTTGGCTGTAAAGGGAATGCCGAGAAAATACATTGCACTGATTAAGGCACTCTACTCGTACTCATGCAGCCAGGTGAGGGCCTATGGCGAGTTGTCATCTGAAGTGGTGACGACTAGTGGCGTCCGTCAAGGATGCCCATTATCCCCATTCCTATTCAACTTCATCATAGACGTACTAATGGACTTAACCCTAACACACTTCAGCGACTCAGGGATTGACTTGCTACCAGGGAATAATCTCGTTGACTTAGAATATGCGGACGATATAGTCCTTCTAGGCGAGGACTCTGACAAAATGCAGAGTCTACTGAACACCTTGAGCAACAATCTTCGTATGTTTGCCATGCGATTCGCCCCTGTAAAATGTAAGATAATGCTGCAGGATTGGACTTCACCGACCCCTAGATTAGAAATAGGAAGTGAAGTGGTAGAGCACGTTGACCACTTCACTTACTTGGGAAGTACCATCAGCCCCAACGGGTTGATCTCCGACGAAATCTCAGCACGAATACAGAGGGCTAGGTTCGCATATGCCAGTTTACGCCGTCTCTGGCGTAGACGGGACATCCGACTATCGACCAAAGGGCGTGTGTACTGCTCAACAGTCCGCTCCGTCCTCCTTTATGGCTGTGAGACATGGCCATTGAGAGCAGAAGACATGAAAAGATTATCTGTCTTCGATCATAGGTGTCTGCGTTCTATCTCCCGCGTGAAGTGGTATAATAAGGTGAGCAATATTGAGGTTAGGTGTCGAGTGCTAGGTAAGGCGGGGAAATCAGTCGACGAAACTGTGAAATTACATCGACTGAGATGGTTAGGACATGTGCTACGTATGCCTAGTCATCGCCTTCCTCGACGATGGGCAATGTTAGCTGATATAGGGCCAGGCTGGAAAAGAGCTAGCGGCGGTCAAATGAAAACATGGCACCAGTCAATGAAATCCACAACAGTCAGTCTAAGCCACGTAGGAAGGTGTAGACTTCATGACTGGTTGGGGTCATCGGGACGGTAAAAACCAATGGTTGGAAACAATTGGTGACATGGCTCAAAATCGTTCTCAATGGCTGGTGCAGATGCATCCACTCCTTGTGACTTATGATTTCTAATGAAACTGTTTTGTTCTTCGTTATTACTATACCTTTGTCTCACACCTCTGTTTACTGTCTCTGATATGCATTTCTCCTACTTTCTTCTCTTGCTTTGTGTGCTACATGGAGTGTGGCCGCACATATGTGTAAAGTTCTGTGTCGAAAACCGACCGAGTTAGGCAATGTTCATGAAGTAACTGCCTATTGTGGTCTGAGCCATGGAAATAGATGTAGACTGAGTGACCGAGTTCCGCAGAATACTAAAACCCAAGGATTATAGACGTTTACTGAAATGGCTCAACATTTTTGGCAATGGTGCAGATGTGATGTGTTCAGACTCGTTGTTATATCATTGAGATTCATCTGATTATTCAGGATCACAGACGTCCTCATCAACCATAATTTCACTGAATTTCTTTTCTCTGCTTTTATTTATGTTTTCTCAGAGTTTAGGAATTTGAACTGATTCACTTTTATTGTAAAACCAAATTTACTTATTCAGTGAACAGTATTCGGTGAAACAAAATTTGTTCAGTTATCTGCTGTTGTATTAGAAGTCACTGAGAAAGAAAACTTTTTCTCAGAAATGAGTATTCACTAGGTTGATGTAAGAAGATGCAAACTGTATTGTAGGCGTATATTTTTGAATAACACCAAATTAGGATCTGGATTTCGTCAAATCGCTTTTTATTAATTATGTTAAGTATGAATAAAAGCATCAGAATGTTTAGAATATTTGGGACAATTACAAAAAATTTATAAGGATGGCTAAATGATTCAGTTACCCAAAGGACTTCAAATGGATAAATGGTACTTAGATGAGGTATATTTTACCATGTAAACAAATATCTTTTAGAAAAAGTGAATTAATGTAATACTGAAATTTGTATTCAATCATACATCACACACATGTCTATGATACACAATATTGCACTGATATATAAAATGTGTATTTTTTAAATCAAACAATCTCTTCAAGAATAAAGTTAACAAAAAAAAGTAAAACGTTCATTTGTAAGGCGTTATATACATATACAGTTATATTCACTTATTTAAAAGCCTCGACCACGAGAACTGTAACCGCTTGGGCGACGATAACCACCAGTACCCATCGAGTTACCTCGACCTCTTCCTCCTCCTCCTGATGAGCCTTGGTTTCGAGAGGAATATCGGGCATTCGCATTATACTGATCAGAATAGTAGTCACTGCGAACAGAATCCCCTCCATAATCATAGCCACGACCAGAAGTTTCTCTTGGATGATGTTGTGACCCTCTTATTAAAACACGAAAGGAAAAAGTAGATTTAAAAGGCAGAAACAAAACGCTTGAACAAGAAGAAAATAGAAATATATATGTCTTACTCTCTGGTCTGTTTTCGTTACTCTAATTTATGTGAATATTAAATCATTAAAGATAAGAAGCCATAATTGTTGATAGTTTTAAGCTTTGATAAAGAGCTTGATAGGACTCAGGATAAAATAGTATATCATCCTTTATCACGAATTGTGTGATTTATCTTGTGATGGAGTTACTATGTTAATGTATCATTTCTCACGCATATTGTGATTAATTCATCGCCTTTTGTCTCACCTTGGTCTCTGTCGGATCGTCAACCAATCAGGATAGATATTTCCAACCAGTAAGAACAATACATTCCCACGGTTGTGAGCCGACTTTATTATGGTTAAGAAAATGTATAAATATCATGTTTTGTTTCCTAATAAATGTACAATACAATATCTTACAGTCAGCAGCCAGCCTTTGTCTTTTGATATTTCCGTGGCTCAGGGAATCGGAAGGTACAAAGGACAAATAGACGTATCAGCGTACCAGTCGAGTTATAGTAATTAACAGGCGCAGACATACATAATAAAATAGCGACGGATCTATTCAGTTCAGTTATAACAAATTGGCAACGGAGTTATAACACAGCTTTTACAAATAACCACAATAGACATATTCATCAAGACAATTTATTCTGTCAAGCACAAAATACTCTAGAAAAATTGTACGACCAATCTCCAGTGTGGTGAGATTTCTCACTATTTATCATCAATAGTAAAGACAGGTGTACTCTTTGTCTTTCTTATTCTTTCGACTAAGAGGCTAAATAGTTTATATTAAACAAGTTTATCATACAAATACATAGAAAACAAAAGAATGAAGAAATAATGCCAATTGTTGGGATTTAACGTTTTAACTTGACAAATGAAGTTAAAAACCAAATACTTTCTTCTGTACAGGATGAACATTCGTTTGTTTCCAAATCCCGTAAACAAATAAGACAAAATTATGCTTCCATTTGGCATATTTTTCGTCATTCAAAAAAAGAACTACCAAGACAATAGACTTGATGGTATAAATTTTGTATTAGCTTTTTTAATTCTTTCTTTTACTCCATGAATTGAGTTAAATTAACCTAAATGATTGCTAAGCTAAAATCATTACGGTGGGAAAGTACTTCTAAGAATATCATGTTCATATGCGGATGATGAAGAACTGAGATGTTCACTACCCAGTTACATGAACAATAACTCATTTTAACTTCATTAAAAAAATAATCAGCATCTTCCTGACAGATATTACCTGTATGAATCTCGAGATGCATTGGGATATGTTTCATGACTGCTGGTCATACCACGCCGACTATCTCGACCTCGACTTCCAGACTTTGAGAAACTTCCCAATCGATCGTAACTAAATTCATTTTCCTGATCATCGGCTGGATAATTCCCTGAACCATAATTCTGCATACTGGTATCCGAATCATGTCTACCTCTCGTAGATTTGGAGGATGCTTTGCGTATTGGATTCGCAGAGGGGTAATGGTTGCCTTTCTTAGATTTAGGTGTACCGTCTTGTGAAGAGCTGTATTCACTACATGTTGCTTCATTTTGACTGTTCAAAGCTTGTCCGGTTGGATTTTTTCCCGGTGATTCTTTAGCACCTAGGTCGACTACTCGCTCGTGTATCTTATTCCCCTCTGTTTGTGCACGGGATGACTTACTTTTGCTATCAGACACAGACTCTGAAGTCTTTGTACTGGTTCTTGAATCTGTAGTAGTGACAGAATTTTTCGACACCGGTGCATTCGGTTTGTCAAAGGTTGCATCTGAATTGTTTGATACCCAGGCTGAAGGTCGATCAGACCGTTGACTTGTTGGCTTACCTTGACGTTGGTCTAAATTAAATAAATCATTTCATTAGACATGGGGAAATGTAAAATTATTGTTTACGAGTGAGATTTCTAAGGTTTGACATTTCTAATATACATATATATATGCTGAAAAGTTTTGGATTTTGATAACATTTCGAGTAAGACTACTGCCCCTGATGACACCAATGGTTGGAATCGCTTTTGGAATTAAAAAGTTATTGTGTAAACAACTGTTAAATATAATTATAATAAACTAATCCTCTGCATCCGCTTAATAATTCTACTCTTTCTCAACGACTAATGGTCAGTAGGTGAGAACAGAATGCCCACAGAAAAAGTTGTTTCCATTGCTATTCGTAACTGAGTATCATTCTATTATTTTAATATAAATCAGTCCATCTGATGAAAACAGTATTTAAATTAGTTGTGGGTGCCCAAATTAAGCTTAGACATAATGGTATGAGAAAGGTAGCTTCAGTAATAATTATTATTTTGAGGTATTTGCAAAATAATACTTTACCACATATTCACTTGGGGAATACAGTCATAACAGTACAAGTTTATATACAAGCTACTGATCCTAGAAACAGAGACTAGACTGATGATAACCAAGTTTGTTATTGTATATTTTACCTTTCTACAGCTTAATCAGAAACAAACTAAACAAAGCTAAAATAGTTGTTTTACAATATAGGTAAGTCAACAGAATTTTGAAGTACACTGGAAACCCCAACATTCAGTTGAGATTTGTTAAGATTTCTTCATCATTCATCATCAGATAAAAGCATAGTCCTAACATTACATTGTGCGTCGGTGGCACAGCGGTTAGGACGCTCGCCGACCATGCACATGGTCCGGGGTTCGATCCCCGGCTGACGCACTCCTTTACGTCGCTAAGTCAGTAATAGAACTGGCAAAGAGGGAAGGTTGGGCATGAGGTTAGCAACCCCATCCTGTAAAAATAAACACTGCTACAGAAACTTCAAGACTCTAGCTTGGAGCCCTATGTTCCACTGGGAACGTGAAGGAATAAAAAAAAACATTACATTACTTATGTTGAAGCATTTTCTTACTAATCATTAAAAGACAGATAAAGTTAAATCTATTAAAAACGGACTGCGTCTTGACAGCACAAATGTGAGACTGCATGACAAACCTAAACAAACTTATCACATTTATTGCGTATGACTTTCTAGTACTCAAATAAACTTGCCCAACAAACGTCTTAATGTTGCTTGAAATCAATGCAAGCTTTATTTTTCCTACAACAACATAAGCTTGAAACAGTGACATCAGAAAAAACAGGCCGGCACACTTACGCACACTCTGCATTGCAGGAAATTCATCTGCATCTAACACGACTGACAACTTTTCAGATCTACTGCTCTTTTGTGTTTTGGAATCAGTTGCTGCCAAGTCCTCTTCTTTATTATTAGAAACTCCATTAGCGTTGGAACGGTCGATTGAGTTACGTTTGACATCATGTGTCCGTCTGACTGTTGGTTGAATCCGTGTGGGCTTGTCTGCCCTCGATTTCGCCTTGGCCACTGCAACACTAGCTGGTTTAAACTGTCTGTGACGTGATGAATCTTCGTCTTTGCGCCTATCTCCAACACGACTGTTTAAGTAGGCCAGAAGTGGTGTTATGGTCTGAGTCTGCACAAGAAAGTCAGAAATAATTATTTCAAACACAAATGGAGAAATAACTTAAGGTGCTTCATCATACTGGATGTATTATTTGTCGGCAAATTCTAAAACATTATTTTCCACTTACATCTAGTTGTATAGTACAGTAAGTCATATCGAAAATTATGTGGTCGGATTTTTGAACATAATTTGAATTCAGAATTTTCGAAGCACCATTAAGTCCTACTATTCAATACAGTAAGTGAGATAGTCATCCAAAACCTTGTCATGGCATATAATTTCTTCAAACAGAATGCGAAAACTAGTCGAGATAAGTTTAGCTACGAGGAAATCCCAATAGAAGTAAAAAGCGAAGCGGAAAAAGGCTACATTGGAACTGTGAAGATACTTCTCCATCATTTCAATGCCCATTAATAAAATGCGAAATTGCAGGTATGAAGTATATTTATGAAATCACTTTGAAGGCCATTCTTTAAGCTTTCTTTTTTTTAATTACTTGATTGTCATCCAAAAATTCTAGCAAATCAATCAGCTGACACTTAAGACGGACGAAAATATGAGGAAAAGATTATTTTATCATTTTAGTCTAGTAGTTTCCGATGGAAAGTTGTCATGCACCACTAAATTTATTGTGAATCAATCCAAAATTCCCAAAATAGATTCCTCAACGAACATATGTTTAAAAATCCTAACTTCTGATTGAAACTTCTGCTTGGAAGGCCAAAAGCAAATATCTGAGAATGCTTGAGAATCAGTTAGCTTTCGTTGAAAATGAGGTGACTGTCGACTTTCGTCTCACATGTGCAGAGTTAAATGGTTGAATGCATTGACTGTCTCACTGCTTTGACAACAGACATCAGCCGTAATGAACAGGTTTCCAACAAAATGACAGCATCCATAAACAACATTTATTTGACACTGGCTAGATCGAGTCCTCTTTGATTTAGGACCCTGGAGATGTGAAGGGGTGTGTTTACTGCGCACCAGTCCTCTCCATTGTGTCTTACAGCTGTGAAACAAGGATTCTGAAAGGTGACATGAGTAATTATGGGGTTTTCGACCACGACTGTTCCCGTGTGATGGCTCGCGTCAGATGGGATATGTTTGGTGATATCGAGCGAGACTGAGATTTCTAAAGTTGGATGTATATAAATAGTTGCAGTGATGAGGCAAGAGGAAGAATAATTAACATATCAAAAGTGGTAGATGATATTCACAACATAAGCGGACCATGTAAAACGTGGGTGAAATTCAATAAGGTAACCAAAAACACCTACACTGATGGACATCGATGTTCGAACTGTCCTACTCACTTATCACTTCAAAATTACATACGTTTATAACAGTGGTATGAGTAGGACTAATGCAACAAAATAAAAGGATATGGTGCAACTTGGAAGTATCAATGAGCTCACCTGCGTAACAACAGCTTCCCTATTCTGTATCTCATCTAAGATGACTTCCCAAGGAGTTTTCTTGGATTCCGTTTCTGAGGTTTCTCCAGCAGCTTCGGAAGCCTCCAAAGAGTTCAAAAACTTCAAGTATTGCGGATCATTCGACAGAGTATTTTGTTTTCTATCCACTTTAACTCCCTTATTACCGTCGGAAGATCCTTTACTACTTGCAAGCGCTTGACTAACAGCAAACTCTACAATTGCACATGACTCGTTACCCTAAAAATAAAGTTTCACATATTCAATAATTACATCACAGTCCACAAATGTGTAGCCATCAAATCTCTCCTTGAAATCAAACAGTGCATCGATATCACTAAAGGTTATATATGCCCGCGTAAGACCAAGTGCACCTAGGGAATCATCCGCATTGCAAAACCGAAAATAGTTATGTGCAGGTAAGGGGTCAACAATTCTGATGAAGTCATCAGCTTTTAATTTTGGCGGTAGTCTCCGAACAACAACTTTCGTCGGCAAATTTTTAGTCATCTTCGTAACGTTTCGTTGAAATTACGCGCTGGCAACCGATTAACTAGTTTCAGCCGTCTCCACCTACCAAAAGTTATTTACATAGAAATGCTGATATACCTCAGTAATAAATGTCGCAGTAGTCAACACTATTGTTTCTTCTTCTTTTTCCGTCCCTCTTTCCTGATGTCTTCACTGAGTAAACCAGTCTTCGGCTATTAAGGTTTATCTAACTGTTCCATTAGAGTATTCCTTACAGTCCTACAGGAGGTTAACTACGAGCCCTAACAGCCTAATGATGCAGTGGTAGGTAATTCCCTAAAAATCATTAGCCACAGAATTCATCAATAACATAGGATGCTGACCCTCACTGTTTAAGTCAACTTGTCTAGCTGAAGGCAAATAGTTTACAGTTTACAATTTATTTAGGATAGTAGGCTATATGCCTGTGTTAATCCTTTCGATTTGTTACACACAGGAGGTCCAATCTCGCCTTGAATGAATCAACGGATGGCGCTGATACGACGTGTTCCGGTAGGGAGTTCCAATGGTTCACAATTCCATGCGAAAAACGGATCTCCAGACGCAGACGATTCGACCGTGGTTTTTGAACCTTGATGTGATGTCTTTGCAATTGGTTGGTGCTAGAAGGAAGAAATAAATCAGATAAATTTGCTCCAAAATCATTTCTTAGGATACGGTATGCTAGTATTAGGTCAACCCTAAGTCGTCTGTATGACAGTGGAAATAAACCCAGTCGACTTAACCTCTCTTCATATGAGAGGGTTGAGAAACCCTTTATTAGCTTAGTTCCTACTCTTTGCACCCTTTCTAATAAGTCTATTTCGGGCTCACTGCCTGGATCCCATATTCCAAACGAGGTCTGATATAAGTCCGATATAATATACGAAATATTTCAGCGTCAAAATTCGCAAAAGGTTTGCGTATGGCCCATAATATTCGAAAACCCTTAGTGGCTGCAGCTCTACAGTTTGTTGCTGTTTTCAAGTCATGCTGCACAACCACTCCCAAGTCCTTGTACTCAGTGACCACTGGGAGAGTAATGCCATTCATTCAGTAATTGTTCACGTGACTATGAGATACATGCATAACTACACTCTTGCTTAAGTTAATCTCCAAGGCCTAGTGCTCACACCAATCACTTAACAAGTTTAAATCTTCCTGCAAAGCAAGTTGATCACTGTCATCGTGTAAAGCCCTCCATATCTTGATGTCATCAGCAAACAGTAAGCAGGATGACTTAACTACCGATGGAATCTCATTAACATAAATCAGGAAAAGAAGTGGGCCTAGAATTGTACCCTGAGGAACGCCACTCTTAACCGATTTTCATGTTGATAAAACCCCGTAAACTCGTACTCTTTGTCTTCTGTCCTTTAGAAAGTCTTGAATCCAGTCGGCAACCACTTTATTGATTCCGATACTACCTAACTTTACTAGAAGACCTGAATGAGAAACCCTGTCAAACGCCTTGCTAAGGTCGATGAATATGGCATCCACCGGTATATTAGCATCAGCTGGGCTTGCCCAACTTTCTCTGGCCAAAAGAAGGTTGGTCAAGCAAGAATGACCTGCTCTAAAACCATGCTGTTCCACAGCGAAAAGTTTGTTCCCTTCAATGAACTGAATGATAGCATCACGAATTATTCTTTCTAGTAGTTTAACAACAATACTGGTCAAACGATAGTTCTGAACTAAGCTTCTAGATCCGGTTTTGAAGACCGGACTAATGATGGCATCTTTCCAGTCTCTTGGACATTTAGACCGGTCTAGAGACATATTGAAGATTACCGACAATGGCTCGGCTATGTTTTCAGCCAATGCTGTTAATATACGTGGGTGGAGTTCATCAGGGCCACTGGACTTACCAGGATTGAGCCTTAGAAGCCACTTTAGGACAGTATCTTTTCCAATGTATAAGGGTGCCATTTTCAAGTTACCTTCTGGAAAAGTTACAAAGCTGGTATCAATATTATTAGAGAATACTTGACTAAAGTGCTTGGATAAAGCCTCAGCCTTAGTCAAGTTATCCTCAGCCATGTTTGTCTGGTCATCTTCAAGCATAAGAGGTGGGATAGCATCACTCCTACGTGTTCTTCTCTTGATATATGAGAAGAGTCTTTTCGGGCAGCCTGGTGAACTTTTAACTAACTGGGTTTCGTGAGGTATCCTTGACTGGTGAATCAAAGTGTTACACTGGTTTCTGGTTTCACAGTATTTCAGCCGGAACTGCTGTAGCCCAGTAGAAACAAAGAGATTCCAGACTCTTTTCCTCCGTCTTAGGAGTGTTATAGCTTGTCTATTTATCCATGGTGGCCGGTTTGTTGGTCTTTTAGGAAACCTCCAGGGAATGAAATCAGTGGTAACCCTCTCAAGTGTATTCTTAAATCTATCCCATTCATCTTCAATGGATGAGACAATATTGACTGACCAGTCGGCAGTTGAAGCACGCTCCTTTATAGCGACTATGTCAGCATGCCAAACACTAGGTCGGGATTTGGGTTGAAAACTGACTAAATTGCCAACCCTTAAGTTAAAATCTAACACCCCATGATCACTGTTTGCTAGAGGTGGATGAATAACTAGACCATCCACGTCGTCGTTGTCATGAGTAAGCACTAAGTCCAGCAAGGAAGATCCTTGGGTAGAACCGAATCTTGTACTACATAAGACATGTTGTGTCAGGGCATTTTCCATGGTAGTCAAGTCACCTAGAATAAGACAGCTACTGTGTTTACTCCATTGTTTGAGGTGATCTAAAATAAAGTCATCACACTGACAAAAGGGACTTCTATACAGAACACCAATGAGTAAAGTGCCAGCTGCAAAGCTTACTTCACAGCTAATTACCTCAGTTGTCCCACTGTCATGCGCTTCAGATTTCACGGAACGAACATGTAGGGAGTTGTTGATGTACAGAGCAACCCCGCCACCTCTACGACCCTTAATCCTGTCGCTGCGCAAGCAACTGAATCCGCGTAGCTCAGGTGTGTCATCTAATCCAGAAACCAGCCATGTTTCAGTAATGGCCACAATACTTGGGCTAAGGTCTTCCACTAATACACCTAGCTCGTGAAATTTGTTCCCGATACTACGTATATTAGTGTACACTACCTTCAGGCTTCCTATGCGGTCCGGCTTATCCACACAGGTCTTGGAAGCATACGTTTCCACGACCTGACTATTTGAAAACCCACCAGTTTAAGGTTAGTTTCACCGTTTTTACATCTTGTTTCTAGCCGGGACAAAACTTCTTTTCGTTTTAGTCTGTCTTCAAGAGATAAATCAGGTCTTACTGAAATTCCTGACCCGGCAAGGTTGTGTACATTAGCCAGCAGATGATTCCGTTCATCAGGAGAACCTAAGACTACTTTAAGCAATCTACGCTGATTAGAACATTCATCATCTCTTTTGCCTATTCTAATCAGCTTTTTAATCGATACTCCAGGGAAATTCGCTGGGAGCATCTTCCTTATAATACTACTCACTAATTTAAGGTCGTGATCGTGCCTTTTTACGGGATCAGATTCTTTGGACTCTTCTAAGTTTCCAACAATTATGTTAGAGTCTAAGGAGAGCTTGTCGTATTTAGCAGTGGCTACGTCTTTTCTCACCACTACTGATGCAGCCTGGCTACAGGTGACAGACGTTTGACTACCATCAATATTACTATGTTTCTTCCGATTGCTTACTTTCGTTACCCACTAATCATCTGCCTGCAGTTGCTTCTCAGGGCTGCTGCAGTTTTTGATGGTACAATCGAGATCAGTGTCTGCACCACCTTCATGATTAACTTCGCTTACAGTGTTCTCTGGTGCTGAGATGCTGTTTGCAGCTTCCGTTTTGTTACCCTTTCGCTTACTAAGACGCTTCGAACGCCTAGTAGGTTTTACTTCCGGGGTAACTGGGATAGTAACCGCCGGTGTGGTAACATTCATGATGGCGCTTGCTGCATCATCTTCAGACGGGCAGTCTGTGTCACTATTACTAGCCAGGTTATCATCAGGAAGTTCCATAGCCTTACACAGTAGTTCGTGAGCCTCCCTTATCAAAGTCATTTTTGCGGAGCAACACATTCTGCACATCCAGTGGGATGTTAGAGCACTACAACGTTTGTATGCAGCTGGACGTAATCCAGTACACATCTTATGATACCACTTTTTACAGTTATTACACTGCATTCCATCATCTACCAAAAAGTAACACTCCACCCTATTACATTTATGTGGTACTTTTGACATAATGAACTACTGGAACAGCCAAGACAATTTACACAATATAGACTATATAAATGTTTAAAATCAAAACTTAACAGACAAAAGTCAAGTTGAAGTTTTTTTAATGTTCTTGAGGTGAATAACACAACAAAAACACCGATTTGTCAATGCGTGAAAATACGTGAAAAAAGCACTCCCTTTTTTCAAACAGCGCGTACAAGACGTGGTCAAGCATCTACACCATTAAGCGCGCCGTCGTAATACATTCGTTTGTTCGTGCACAATCCCTAACTAGTTAAGCAATCAACCTCGCACCACGATTTGGTCCGGAAATATACTTCGTGATTTGGACGATCAGTTTTGGTGTTCCACTTTGCCTTTGGCCTACGCAGGACGAATGCCGTAGAAGTTGTGGATATTGGATCTTGCGTTAGTAGACTTCGAATTATCCGTTAACGTCAACACCCTCAGCCTCTATCGTTAACTTTATCAATGGTAAACACATAAACAAATCCGGTGAATTCGTCCCATTTTGTATTTGTTCTCGTATTATATTTACTATTTTTGAAATATATATTTCTTCATGGGCTACCATACGCCTAAACTCATCCGTATCCGACCAACTGGTAACACTATTCAGCTCATGCCATTTTGGCCAGATAATGTGGAATCATGGTTTCAGATAGCCGAGTGTGATTTCAGTGAACATGAGATCACTGCAGGACGTTCACAGTTCTTTGCAGTTAGCCACGTTCTACCGCGGGAATTAAGCAAATGCGTTATTGTGCAAATGTCTGGTCCAAAGGTAAGTAACC